CAAACAAAACATGCATGCTCCTGATTGCCTTCCTCCTACGGAGCTGGAGGGATTAAAACCGGGGTGTTAAAGAGAGGGAAGGAGACACGCTCCATGTCAGTCTCGGGTGTATATTTTTCATTGTTATGTCTGAGAGTCCATTCATCCTGCCCGTTGGTGCGATTTCCTATTAAGAAAAAAATAGATTTCCTAGAGCTCTGTACTCCCCTCCCCAAGCAAAGATATACATTTTTAAATACGTTGTACTAACATGCCTTTCACTTGCACGATAAGTCGAGCATTGCGCCTGTGATTGAACAAACCGCGCTACACCGCGTGGTGTTTGCCAAGCAAAAGTTTGATCACCTAAAGCACCCGAATAAGCTGCCTAGATGTGCGTGTGTGCGTGCTTGGCTGCGTTGACTTGTGCGTTGGAAGAGTATGTGTTTGGATGGAATAGATCCAAGGGGTCAAACGTACCTTATATTAAAATAGCTTTTTCCCCATAAAAGACTGGTTGTCATCGTTCTGATGAAAATTAATTGATAGGAGCCAGCCTTTCTAGCTGAAGCAACCCATTCGCTGCTGAGAGCTTCCCCGCACAGTCTGTCAGCAGCAGGCAATCTGAGAGGGACTGTCAGACGTAGTCAGGGATATTTAAAATAAACAAATAAAAAAATTAAACCCGGGGGACGGAAATCGTATTTCTTAAATATATTTGGAAATAGACGGTCCGGTTCCAGATCACGCCTGGCCGTGCACAGCAAGGGGGTCGCCGGAACATCCCGTGGCTGCGAGTCCCATGCTAGGCTAGTCCTAATCACTCTTGCATGCGCTTCAACTTTGAAAAGTTGCTTTCCAAGAGGGATGGATACCACAGCTCCAAAATGCACCACGCAGGGCAATATCCCGAGGCAAGGAGGCTCATAATATTTAGCTCTAAGTGGAATGACTACGCTGGGACCTGGCGCTGCTGGCAGCCTCGGATTTGATTTCCCAGGAAGTCATCTTTTCGAAAGGGCTGATTGAAATGAAAACACGTGTCGTGGTTCTTCCATTTCTTAACTCCAAATTACGCCTAACGAAAGGATGGGGTTTGATTTGTCATCTATGTTTAGGTTATGCAGATCCGGAAAAGTAAACAGGAGCCTAAGTCACTTGATTTGTTTTCTGTAAGCAAATAACACTCAAAAGCATGGCTGTAATTTACGACGAATTAAAATTGATTCTTTTCATCAGGCAAGAAAATAGGGAAAGGCGAGGTCGTTAATTATTGAGGGAGGCGCTCCTCATTAAAAGGAACAATGTTACAATTCAGCATTTAAT